AAATAATTAGATATGCTAAAACACAGAATTTGGTAACAATAAAAAATATAAATAATATGGTGAGAAAAAATAAAACATTTCATAGGACCCTAAAACATGTCAGTTTTGTTCAACTTTTTAATAAATTGATGTGAAAATGTATAAGTTTCATGATTTTAATTAATAAGAATAAAAGACTATTTTTCCCTATATATTTCATCATTGAGGATTTCTTTAAAAAAGTCTAAAAATCTTGTCTCGTCTCATTCTCGTGAACCCAGTCTCGTGTCTCGTCTCGTCTCGTGGGATAAGTGTCTCATCACACCCCTATTGAGTTATTAAATGTATTTGTTGTGAAAGTATGTGCAGCATGAAGCATTTTGTGCTTCCCCTGTGCTTCAGACAGTTTTTAACTGTTTTCTCTGTTTGCTGTGCCATAATAATAGGCAATTGGTGTGAAAAAAAGAGAAAGGTTGTAATAATCAGGCAAATGCAACATTCTTTCCCCTTGGAGTCTCTTGGCTGATCTTTACAAGACTCTGCCCTAAAGCGTAAATTCAGCTCAGCTCACATTAAGCAAAATACCGAATCTCTTCATCACAGTGTCGGATCGCTAATGCTCTGAAGCAGAAACCTGATGTCTACACAGTGAGTGCGTTTGCTCTCTGTATCACTGTGGCCAGGGCTTCAGGCTTGAGTGCTTTCATTGTTTCCAGGCTGGGGCTAATGAATTGAATGGCCTCCACAAGTATCGACCCTGCAAGGCTGACAGTGGGGATTTTTGATAAGACGTATCAGTGCTGGCCAACCCCTAGCCTTTACTGTGACCGGCTTCATAATCTGTTTAAGGAGATTTTTTATGCTTAGTGGCATTTCCACCTATACACAATCGATTTTCCCATCAGGGTGCACGAGGTTGCCCTACCCAGCTTTGCATGTGAAGAAAAGAACGCGTTTAACTCGCAATGGAGACGTGGGAAAGAGCATCCACAGGCATTTGGTTTTTCCTCATTAATCAAATCGATCGACATGCAGATTTTGTGTTTCCCTAATGCTAATGATAAACTGGCTGATAAATCGCAATTAATTGCATATATCAGTATCTGCAGAGAAAAGACCCCAAAAAATAATACAAAGTTGTGAAGTTACCTCAAAATTGCGAAATATTATTAGAAGTTGAAATAAATATCGATTATATAAATATTTTAAAATGTTATTTATTTGTGAGATGGTAAGCTGAATTTTTAACAGACTTCAACTTTCAACTTCATTCTTCAGTCACATGATCCTTCAGAAAGCATCTACTGTATATACAGTATATATATATATAGGCATAGATACAGATGTATAGATATAGAATTTTTTCTCAGCAAATGCATTTTTTTTTTCCTTAACGAAGGCAAACACGCAGTTATGAACTGCAGCAAGTTTTACACTCTTTTTATTAGCTGCTCGGCAACTTTCATTAAAAATAACAAATGGTAATGCTCTGTTACAAAGAGTGGTGCTTTATATCTCCAGCAAGTCAGCTTTGTTGACTAATGAACTTTAATTCTAATTAAATAGGCTAGATAAGAGTGTGTTTAATGAGGCGACTCATCTGAAGAAAAATCCTCACTATTTCCTCACCCATAATCCCCAAAGTTTGGATCCTGGAGAGAATCGAGATTTATCCGTTGGGGTTTCACACAGAGAAACGAACCCTGAACTCGCACCGAGACTAATTCCACCTGACATAATGTAGTGTGATTACTGACGTCACGCATGATGGCCGTGAAACACTCTTACATTGATTTCAGATTGTCAGTTATTTCACTTCTAATCTAAATGTAGGAGACACTTTGCTGGTGGCACACTGGTGTCTTGTTTAATGTATTTCGTTAGTTGCTGGGTATTTCCATTGCTGGTCATTATCTTGTTCTTCCAGCAGTGCCTTTGCTTCAATCTTCACTCCAACGTGAAGAAAATCTCAATATGCACAGAATGTCTGAATACTTTGCCAAGCACTGTCCATTAATTCTTGGCAGCAAAAGTTAAAACAAGATGCTTGAGTACCTGGGAATATTTTTATTTTATTAGAAGACAATGTGCGGCATACTGATATGCAAATATGTGTTTGCATGAGGTCCCCAGTGTCTGCGTGTCTTATTTGTCTTTGCTCTTTGTGACTTCTAAAGTACTTACCCGCTGTTTACGCTCAGATCCCAGGTCTCATGTGAGATTGCTTGTTTATCTCCCTGAAATCAGTGTTAGTGATTTTATTTGTTCTTTAATATGGTGTAAATTGAGGTTGTGCATGGGTTACTGCTCTTTGTGTGGACAAACACCCAAACAACTGTGTATGGGTTTGTACACAATGTGTCGGTACCTCATCATTTTTACGTTTAGATTGCCTTTGTCATTATCTAATGGTCACCAAAGTGCATTTTTAAAAACACTAATAATTTAAGAACACCTTTAAATATAAGGTTTAGCAAATCTGAAAAGAAATGCAATATTTAGTTTTTATTAGCATTAAATGATTGGTTTTATGTAATTTTGAGTCAATTAAACTGAATTAAAGTGTTGTGTTTTTTGACATTTAGACAAAATACACTGCTACTCTGAGAGGCTCTTTTTATACCCAATCATGTTGCCAATTGACCTAATAAGTTGCAAATTGGTCTTCCAGCTGTTCCTTATATGTACATTTAACTTTTCCGGCCTCTTATTGCTACCTGTCCCAACTTTTTTGGAATGTGTAGCTCTCATGAAATCCAAAATGAGCCAATATTTGGCATGACATTTCAAAATGTCTCACTTTCAACATTTGATATGTTATCTATATTCTATTGTGAATAAAATATAAGTTTATGAGATTTGTAAATTATTCCATTCTCACAATTTGTACAGTGTCCCAACTTTTTTGGAATTGGGTTTGTATTATAGAATTTGATGTTGGCCATTTATTGGTTATATCTGGTTATGTCTCCAAAATGAATAGGTCCTATCCGTTTTTCATACTATACATTACAGTATAATGTTGTTGTATCTAAATTCACTTGTAATACTTGTTTTTATTTTGTTTTATTGTTTTTTTGCATTTATTTAGACAAATGGTTTGGATATTTAATATGGATCATTTTATGCATATATTGCATGTCATTTATGAATTTATGTTCATTAAGATATGGATGGAATATTTGTCTTTTTAAAAATGTATTTATCACAGTTTTTTATGTGAAATAATAAAGACAAAAAAATGATTAAAATGGTGAAAAACTTGTGAAATTTTCGCGTCGCGTCGCGCCACGTCTTTAAAATTCAAACACATTATTTTCTATGAGTTTACTCACACCAGTGGCGCCATGTTGTACTTGTTGTAAGAATTGTTCTAGAAGCGGTGCTGAGCTTCTTTCTGTCTCTGATGTGCGACTGCCTTTAGACATGCCGAAAACTTGACGCTACAGCAGCTCTTCTTTTTCGTTATGCACTAACTCTGCAGCAGCACTTCTTCTTCTTCATCGTCTCGTCTGATGCACTCAGCCAAGCACTCTAGCCACGACCTCGCCCCTCCCCCCAACCATTAGAATTTTCGTAGGCGGGAATTATTTTAATGATATTCTAATGGGCCACTTTGTGATATCACAAAACCCGGAAAACAAATGCTGTAGTCCAAACGAGCCGTTCGTTGTAGTTCTTGAAAAGGAATTTAAAAAAAATGAAATATCTCCCTTTGGAGTGGACTTTGAGATTTGTAACTTTGTAGATCTTTTTTATGCCCAAACATACACACTGGCTAAAATAAAAAAAGTGAAAAGCATAATAGGACCCCTTTAAGTTTGGATGTCCTGTACCGAGCACATTCAGGGCTTTTCAGAGATACTACATGTTTGGACGTTTCACCATGAACACTCCCTCTCTTTGGTCTTCAAAAATGTCTGATTTTAATTTAGTGACACTCTTATGGAAATATGATAATATTTTGTAATTATCATTTAAATCTGACTAATTTTTAAACTGTGTCTCATAAATCAACATATCAGGAAAATGTTATGGGGTTTCAAATCAAAATATGACTTTCTGTTACGAAACAGGACGTTGATTTCATACATGTCCACTGTAGAGGACACCGGGACTAAAAGCATGTTCATTACGCATTTTGGGTGACACAACAAGTTAATAGGGAAAGAAATTATATTTCAATATTCCTATGAAATATTATATATTATTATGAACATCTTGTCAATTATTACTCCCATTATTACACTTCTTTTTTCATTACATATTGCCCCAAAAACACATTAATATGCAAATTAGATTTAGTTTATAGATATATTATATATAATGAGAAAACCTGTTTATGGCCATTTTACACACATTTTGCATAAAGAAAAGTAGTTGACTCATAGTTGAGAATTATCTTTATACAAAGTTTGGTAAAAACTAACCCTGAAAACTAAAAATATATAAAAAAAAAATTTTTTTGTATAAAAAAAAACAATTGTTTTTGCCTATGCATGTTCATTCATGTCTTTTTATATAAAACATTTTTTGAGTCCTCTAACAAGGACGTAGCATAACTTATGAATGAAATATCATTAAAAAAATAATAATAATTAATAATTTAAAAAAATTATTTAAAAAATGTTTATTGCTCTAAACAATGTAATGACATGAAAAAAATACTATTTTTTTCCTAAAATGTTTTGCCGGGTTAAAAATTATGATTTAAAAATGCCAGACACTTAAGGGTTTTGGGTTAGAATTAGTATAACAACTGAGTTTTATTTTAAAAATGTATTTATCAGAGGATTTTTTACAAACTAATGGAGACAAAAAAAAAAGAAAATGTTTACAGTTATGCATCAGCTACCCATAAATAGACTAAATTATCTCCTTTTATACTTAAAAAATGTTTGCGTTAAGGGTTTGAGTTAGAATTAGTATAATGACTGAATGATTGATTTTTATTTTATGGACAGTTCAAATCAATCAAGGGTCTATGAAGTAAACAAGGGTATTTGCTTATGTTCCAACAGACTGCGGTTCAGGAGGCTCAGGTTCAGGATCTGAAACCTGCGAGCAGGATCGTTGTCGACGATACGGCGGATCATGGGATGACGACACAGAGGATGACCGCTGCGTGTGTGACTTCACCTGTCAGACAGTGCCGCACAGCTCAGTATGTCCATTCACACACCTTGCCATTTCCAATCGAAGAGAGTGCCGCCCAGGCATTTGCAGTGTTGGGGAGTAACTAGTTACATGTAACGGTGTTACGCAATTTAATTACAAAATAAATGTAACTGTAATCAGTTACAGTTACTAAGAAAAAATGTGTAATTAAATTACAGTTACTTATGAAAATGTCAACGATTACAAAGGGGATTACATTTGAATATTTACACACATCCACATACAGATTTAATTGAATTCTTTCCCAAATTGCACTGACTACTCTTCAGACATACGGTCCTATAATTTCCGCGATGCGGAAAACACAGACTGGTTCGTAGAATCCAGTCATAAAAATTGAATTCCTATAGCCTAACCGTCTATAGGACGGAATATGCCACATTTTGGACGAATAAATCAAAAGTAGGTCAGTACACTTTATTCAAAACGCGATATGGACTAGTGTCTGTGAATATTAAGCCGCAAAAAGACAATATATGAATCCTGCACGTTCTGCGTGTCTGTGAAAATCAGACGCAGACTGGCCATTGAGAGAACCGGTAGCCTGGCAGCCGATTTGCCCCGCTATTTTAATATTATTATTGTATAATTGCCTGCCGAATGTACTAAAGCGATTATTTCCGAACTCGCCATTCGATAATTAAATCTCTAATAAATCATGAATCGGTTAGTAGTGACTGGCAATGCTTCGGCTTGCGCGCTCTCTGCGCCTCCGCCAAATGGTTTGGGACAGAGTAATCAATGCGAGAGAGAGAATGGAGTGGACTGTGGAAGCGCACAGATGGAGCAGAGAAGCAAAACTACTGTTCGGTTTCAATTGCAGGTCAGTTTCATCAGTAAATATACTATTGTAGTTTTGTCTTTGTTTACTTGGTTAAGCAGCAGCCCATTGCTCATTAGTCATCACTCAAAATACTGTATAAAGGACATCATTATTATCTATTGTAATGTTACAGTAGTAATTTAGCAGACAAAAAATAAAAAAATATAATAGGTTTAGGGGGAGCTAGGGCAGACAACAACACAACCCTTACGAAAATTAACAATGATTTTACTATAAATCCAAAGACAATGGTTACTATTGTTAAGCCATGGTAACCGCAAATAAACCATGGTTTTTGCTACACTAACCATAGTTTAACTATGGAATTTTTAGTAAAAATAAATACAACTGGTAATCCATTTACCAAAAAAAAAAAAAGCATGTTTACTGTACTTTTACTATAATAAAAGCATGGTTAATTTTTGTAAGGGAAAAACATGACTTATGTTCAGTATTAGGATTTTTCTATAACGATATTGTCGTGATGTACTAATTTTGACATGTAGACAATTTAGAAAGTATAGTTTTGTTAAATCTTGAGTATTAAAGTCATGTGAGAGATGGATATCAGGGCAAAATAAAGAGACTGAAAAGAAAAATGTAAGTGAAGGTGCAGTTCAGGAGAGAACTTTAATTATTTTGCATGTCCCCAACCTAAGGATTTAAACCTTTTTTATGTGAGGTCCATACAAAAAATAGGGTTGTCCGTGTTTCAGAATTTGTTGTGGGTGTATGAGTGTGCGATTTCCCGGCCTGAATTTTTTTTCTCAGTCTGCCCCTCATGGAAATGAATGGCGCAGACATGCGGTTTCATTTACTACACATAGGCCTACTGAAGCTC